CTACAAATATTCCTTCTTTCCAATAAATAAATTAGAAATCAAACATGGTAGAATTTCGAAGTACTCTGTTTTTTGTTTTTTTTTACTCTTCAGTAATTTATAAAACACAGTTTGAAGAGTGTGCGTGTGCTGTAAGAATTCTGCAGAAAACATCAATATTTATTGTACATTATTTATAATAAAATTAGTTTTTTAATTTTTATCTAGTGTGGAATATAAAAAATCCGTATCGATTATAATATTAATTATAGTAATACAAAATATAGTATGATAGTTAAATAATAATAATCTGTATACTATTTGTTTTAATTCAATGATTTTTTTAATGGAAACAAGACTGCTGTATAATCATCATATATATATATATTTATTTATTTATTTCAAGCGAACAAGAGCATCGTTAACATCAAAGCATAAGTCAATAAATAAATATATCTGTAAAGTAATGATATTATATATAGCACCAAATAGTGTAAGCTCTCTAGATATTCTACCAATTGAGTCGCATTCAAGCCATTTGCAATTCAAGAAAAAATTGTATTATGCATATAATATTATGTCTTTGACAGTTTGACACAATCACAATGTTCGTCTCCATCATGTATTTCTATTATTTTATTCCAATTTGTTTCAGATTTTTATTATATAATTTGCTTGCTAATTTTCTTTCTATCAAAACATAAGTCTTAAATACAGTTCATGCTAAAGTCACTACAACTCTTTCCTCCTAACTATTATCCAAAAAAAAAACATAATGGCCGCAATAATCATTACAATTTACAATATGTTTGTGCTTAATGTAAATTGATTAATTATTTATTGTATAATATTAGAGTTAAAAATTATAGTTGTGGTATCTACTTATCTAATTTTATATTACTTTATTTCAATATAGGTAAATAATTGTGACCATTATTCCTATAAAATTTTTGTTTGAGACGTTTTTAATTCATGAAACAAGCATAATGTATCTACAAATTGACTACTGATATTTCAGTACAATATAATAATAATTTTATACAGATTTTAAATTGTATATAATAATGATTTAAAATGGTTATTAAAAAAAAAAAAATTATTACAAAGATACATAAATTATCACTGAGATAAGTACTAAAAACAATTGTGTTAGAAAAATGTATTTAATGATCATAAAAGTTTTTATAAATTGGACGTATTTCAAAAAAATAMAACGACTTGAAAGAGTGATATAATTAACAGTTAATTAATGGTTTTAACAGACTATGATAATTTAAATTATTGCTACAGGAAAGAAAATCACGTGTCGTAATCGTTTAAAATTTTCTAATCGCAAAGCATCATCCTGCACCTAAATATTATGAAGTGATCYTTAATTGTAATAGCCACGGTTCTGTTATAGGTACCTACTATATATGACCCAATATAAAACTAAAAATAAAGTACATGCAATACATAAATCTCTAAATTACCTAGGTAGATACCAAAAATATAAGACATTGAAAAATAGTGGTTAATATTGAATGAAAAATGTTTACAATACTATTGTAAAAATATATTTTAACGAAGTTTACCCCGAAAAATCTACTCCCCTATATAATATAAATTAATGAAAACCGTTCGAGTTGTATAAAATATTATTTTTGTTCAGTGCTAAATTCGTCTGATACACGTATAATATATATGTATACACCACTTTAATGCAATACCTTTACCAAAAGATAATTCCAATGTTACGGAAATTAAAATTATTATTTATTTGCGTTTTACCACTTAATGACTATACCACTCGAAGCAGTTAATATTTAAAAGTTTTATTAAACATTACACGCGATTTGCATACAATAGCTATTCTTAATCCACAAGCCACGCTTTCACTAAATACTAGTTACTTGCAACTATGTGTGCAATAATAATGGTATGTATGATTTTAAGCTGCAAATATTAAAAAAWTATCATACTATCACGTATAGTATTAAAAATTAAACTCTTAAACACCYTAAAATCCAGTCAATAATCTTTGAATTTGACTATATAAAATTCGCAATATATATATTTTTTGTATTTTAATCGTGTCTCCTATACTTCATATTTAGAATATATATAACACAGTACTCTATGATAGTATAATTCTCAATTGTATGAACTATGAACTCATAAAAAATGATTAATATGGCATTACAATTTAATTAAAACTTTCRGCCATTAAATTTATAATATTATTATTTAATATTCATAAAATATTATGTTGATATCATATCGCATATTTTATAATAA